AGAGGAGAGGAGAGGAGAGGAGAGGAGAGGAGAGAAAAAAGAAAAGAGGGCTGATGATTTAGCCCAGTGGTTCTGCCACCTGCCTCGAAAGCGCAAGGTCCTGAGTTTGATTCCTGGTACCAAAAAAAAAGAAAGAAAGAGAGAGAGAAAGGAAGGACGGAAGGAAGGAAGAAAGAAAGAAAGAAAGAAAGAAAGAAAGGAAGGAAGGAAGAAAGAGAAAAGGTCCCATCAGCCCCTTCAAGTTTCAGGGTCAGAGGACAGGGGTTGGAGAGATACTAGGATTCTGGTGGACTTGAGTTGGCCCTAAGACCCATCTCTGCCATCATATTCCACACCCTGACCTGAATTCCAGCCATACCTGTCTCTGCGCACCTACTGTGTGCTGGGGCTCCTCCTCCATCACCTGCCATTGGCCACAGTACCTAGGTGAAGTTGGGCAGATGATGCCTAGTTACAGAGTCAAGGAAGCTGAGTCTCAGAGAGGGGAAGAGACTGGCCCAGAGTCACACTGCCAGTAGGTAGGTGGAAGAGCTGGAACTTGGACCCAAGGTCCTCTGATTACAAGCTTCCTGCCTTTGCCACCCTTTTCAAGGGCAGAGAGGGACTGAAGATTTCCTGCCATCCACTGAGGGCCTGGGGAAGGATGGAAAGCCCAGGGCCTTGGTCAGCACAGACCTGGGATCCAGGGAAGGGGCAGCATATCTCTTCCTGCTGGCAGCACACCACACAGTCATTCAAGAAAGGCTCTTGGAGTGCCTGTTTGTGTGGGTGTGCAGGCCAGGGGCTGGTTCTTCTGCTTATCTGCAGCTTGCCTTAGCCTGGAGGCCTTCTTTGACCTTCCCACCTCTATTCTATCATTGCTCCTGCTTCAACTTGCTACCGGGACTTCGCTTCATGCCATTCACCCACCCTTCGTCCGTCCATCCATCCATCCTTCCATCCTTCCATCCTTCCTTCCACTCATCTATTCTCTCATCCATCCACTCATCTGTCTTCTTTCCTCCCTCCCTCCCTTCCTTCTTTCTTTCTTTCCTTCCATCCCATACAATTTATCAATCTACCCATTCATCCATCCACCCACTGACCCACCTATCCCTCATCCACCCCTCCCTCCACCCATTGTCCTTCCATTCATCTATCTGTCCATCCATCCATCCATCTTGAAATGGAGCTATCACACTCATTATTCTATGTCCCTCAGTGTGCTCCCCTCAGTGAATTTTGACAGCACCCTGAAAGGTCTAGTATTCCATTGTACAGATGAAGAAACTGAGGCTCATGTTTCTATTTCTTGCCCAAAGGCCAGAGGATGGAGAGTGAGTTGCACACTTTTAAGCATGGTGATGGGTCACCGACGGTGGGTGTTTGGACCAAGAAAGAGAGACCTCTCAAGTCATACCACTTAGGTGGGCTGCCCACTGCTCCTCCCCCAGCCTCCAGCCCAGGCCCCGGCTGCCACAGCCCTCTCCTGCCCCCAGAGTGGTGCAAGGAGAGGCAGGCCCCAATACAGGGTGCCATTGTGCCCCAAGTAGCACAGGCTCCTCATTGTGCAGAGGAAGCTGCAGGTGGGCTCTGAGCTGCTCCTGAAGCCCAGCGCCTGTCGTCTGCCTTTGATTGTCACCATTGTGTGGCCACAGGGGCCCTTTGTCCCCAAAAGGCTCTCTCTTCCCATCCAAGCCTCTCCCCACCCCAGGCATGATGATTTGCACTCAGGATGGTCGAGAGACTGGGGAGGGGCAGGGAAGAGGACTGGTGAGGAGCCTCAGTTTCTGCATCTGTGAAAGGGGAGGGCTAATCCTGCCGTACCTCATTCATACTGGAGACCAGGACTGGGGACTTAGGGTTTATGCTAGGTGTGGGTTTGGCCCAAACTCTGTTAGTCCCTTACCGTGTGGCCTTAACACAAGTCACTTGTTCTCTTTCCCGTGGCAGTGGTAGCAGCGTTCTGACACTGAGGAGCTTGGTAGCAAGGCAGGGCACTGTGCTTTTCCTGTTGCACTTCCACGCCACCAAAGCCCTTGCTTAGGTCATTTCATGTCTGAGCCCA